TGGCCATTTCTGGCCCATAAGCCGGATGTTCGGCGAAGAACTTGCTTTCGTCGGCCAACGCTTTCTTAATGTCTTTCTTCTCGTCGATGTCTTTTTGGGATCGATTAACGACACCAATGAAATCGCGCTTAAATTGGAGTTTATGTTTCCCATTTAGTATATCCCTGGCATTAGTACCAGGGTTCATTATGTCCAATTGGGTCAACACAGCGATGGTGCGATCACCTTTGGGATCAACTCGTTTGGCAAGTTTCAGAGCATCAGATGTGGCCAAATCTCAATTGTTGACAAATTAGTTTTAAAATTAACATGCATGTTATAATAAACGGGTATTAGTAATACAGTATTACCTTGGTTGGCTGCAGTTACAGCTAGTATCAAACAATTATCTTTTTTAATATAATTTAAAATCATATTTTCAATCAATTTCTCGATATCGTTGGGCTGATCCCCAACAGCCACTCTTGTCATTCCCGGCAGATCTACGAGAGTTAGATCCAAGACATCCGGCGAATAGATCTTAAGATTGATTGGTTTCGATGACACTCCTGTGCTTTCCTTAACCTCTCTTTTGGTTTCAGCGGTGATTTCATCGCGTATTTCATGGAAATTATAAAACCGTTTTCCCGGCGAATGAAGGAATTCTCCAAACGCTTAGAAATTATAAACAATTAATTTCTAAAAACTACTTTTAATAATAGTTTTAATAAATATTAAACATAAACATTATCTTACGTTTTGTGTTATTTTTATCGGATATTAATTGCAGAACGAGTGGTCTTCGGGTGACAATACCCGACCCGCGGGGCAGGAAATCGCGGCCAACAATACTCTCCAAAACACTGGACTTTCCCGACGACTGACCGCCGATAACAACAATTTGTGGTAAATCTAAGACAATATTTTCTTTAAGTTTGTCTTGAAGTTCATTTACTACTTGTATTAGATTAGCGGCAAATCCAGTCATTATAAAAATTATTGTAATTAACTTAATATCTATTGAAAATTAGAAAAATTATTTTTGATAAATTATATATTTTAAAATTATGGCTTATTATAGAATGTATAGACTTTTATAATAAGTAAATTATGGTAACATTTATTGTCATAATTCCATTACTTGGTCTGCATTTCGTGATATCTGTTACATACAGTATATCTGTATATAATTGTTTAGTTAATTATCAAATTACACAATGTCGAATAACATATCACATTCTTATATTTCACACTTTTCAATATAACACTATGAAATTCATATAAATTCATTGAATACAGATTTAAATTTTTAAATATTGTTTTTAGATAATTGATAAAAACATACTTGAAATCACATAATGTTTATAGCTAAATATCCAATGACCAGGATGTAAATATTTTTTATATACAGCGTGAGCCACTGACCGTCTTAAGCTCCGCCCATAAATATAACCAATCACAGCAAAGTAGACTCGCGCTTTTGCATTGTGACACTCAAGGCGAACTCAAAACAGCGCATGTTTGAAGTTATATTTATGGGCGGAGCTTAAGACGGTCAGTGGCTCACGCTGTACAGTAATTGTATTAGTTTACCAAATTATTTAACTAAATTAGTGTTGATAAAATGTCTCGCTTAATTCTAATATACAGCTTTCCTATAAATCTTCCTCTTTATTATAGTCTATGGAAAATTTCTTTTAAAAGAAGAGAAAATTTTACACTTAAATGTCTATTGATTTATATCTATACTGTATGTGTTATTACAATATAAATTATTTATCTCAAAAACTGTGCAATAATCATGCCTCAGATTTTGAAACATTTATGACGCAAAATAGTGTTATACACCACTCAAAAATAAGTTATAATATCAATGAGTAGATAAATACATAAATAAAACATACCTAAATTGCAATCAATTATTTGATTGATTAAAAAATAACAACAAGATTTAATAATGATATTACAATTGTTTAGTATTTTATCACTGATTTTACATAAATTGAAATCAATTGTTTGATTGTTTGAAGAATAATCATTATTTGTATTCAAAATACACTAAATTTAGTTTATTATTTTACACAATCTCTTCATTGCATTGCCAATACTTATAAATTGTTTGTAAACAATATTCTTAATTGTTCATGTTTTTAGTTTATGTTTATTATAACACATACGTGTATAATTGCAATTTATCATTTCATATCCTGTAAAACGAGAATAACTTATGAGAATTTCACAGAATTGTTTAAAATTATTTATGGCTTTTATCAAGTTGTTTAAAATTTTAGCAATATATTTTTATTTAAGAACGACACGTTAAACTTATCAATGTGTATTTTTTAGTTTATTTAAATATAATAGATGCTGATACGTTTAATTATTTATATAATCTAATTACTGCAAAAATAATTATTTATAAAAAAATAAATACATGTATAATGTACATTTAATTCCTAATTGTAAAAATGCTGTAGTATAATAATAAATAATTAACAAAGACATTAAATATAATAGTAATTAAAAATACATTATGATTACAGTATGAAATTTAGATAATTGGGTTAATATTATTTTATTTTTTATTGTACTGTATAACATATTCATAAATATTAATTTTAAAATGTTAATTATTAATATAATTTAATATTTTTATAAACAACTTTTCTTTTTATATTTCATGAAAGTATATTAAAACTCGAATTTTTTATTACAATAATTATAAAGATATTTGGCGTGTAATTAAAGAGATATAAGTCACAAGAATATAATGAATAATCAAACAATAATTAGGAATTTGTGAATTACATGATAAGTAAATTATAACACTATTGAATCGATAGTCATTGACGTAAATTGTTTACTTTTCTAACAAATGTAGTTTTATTAAAAATTTTAAGTATAAATTTCAATTTTATTGTATTAACATTTAAATTATTAAATATAAAACAAGCTTAACTTATAAATTATAATTAACTTAAAAACAGACTTAATATGAAAACTATACTAAAATCTGATATAATAAGCAATTCATTGGATTTATCGCAACTATTGTCCCCGGAATTAAGAATCGCCGGAATTGATGGCCATCTCTACAGAATTGGACTCACATTATATGAGTGCGAATCCGTTAAGAGAAGCAAATTTTTACATCCATTGCTTATATTTATATACTTAACTGTGTGTTCAATAAGATGTTTATTAATGATAAGTTTACCACCAAATCTGGATCTTATATATGTATCTCTTGGAGATATCGGAAACCTATTAGGATTTCGTATACCATTTAACGCGTTGGCATCAATCGGCACTCCCATACCATTATACTTATTACTAATTCATTATTATAATTACAAAAAGCATATAAAACCCACTGATATGAAAGTGTTTGAAATGATGGCCGGAAAGATTGCGCCGAAAGATCTCAAACTAACTGATCAGCGATTAGTTTATAAATTGCTTAAAATGAGTGCATTTTATTTATTTGTAGCTAAAAATATGACACTTTCTATACCTGTTTTCACATTCGTTACATTCTTTTCCATATTTTATACACACCTACCACTGAATCTCTCCTTAACCATTGGGCTCTTGCACTCAATTATATGGACAATCAACGCATACTATGTCTACAATATAATTACTTACCAACTCTTGTATTACTATTTAATAACTTATTATTTAAGGTCTAAACTGCGAGAAGTGAACAATAAATTGAAGACAATCATTGAAATCATAAACAAAGGGAAAGTGTTTTCTATGAATTGGACGCGAATTATACGGAATATGAATTCAATACACGACGAGATCCGGGAATACAATGCAAATTATTGGTCAAAGTTTTTGCTGGTTATTTGGCTTATAATTAGCTCTTTTAACGCACTTTTAACATATCTCTCTATTTATTCAAAGTCTCATATGTTTATTAAGCTTTGTTTCTCTGGCTTTGCATTGTTTTCATTGATAAGCATTTTGTTAATTATTCACATTTCGTCCGATGTTTATAATGAGGCCAATAATTCCTATCCATTGCTCAATACATTACTACAGACCGACAACAACATGAAGATTATCACCAGATTTAGAGTAGTTTTTTGCTAATGACTATAACATTAATATTGATGTATAACATGATAACCATGTGTTTTAATCTAATTGTATAGATCTTAGCGCTTATCGAAAGGGTTGGTCAGCAAAATGTCGGCTTTTATTGTTGGAAATTATTTATAATAAACAAATTCAGGGGATTTGAGGTTTAAATATACTTTTACTGTAGATATCAAGATATTGATTTGTTTTTACTATATCTTTTTCTGGTACAGATATTATCGATGACGATTGTTTTATTCCTCAAAAGTATTGAAACATTTTAGCAATTCACTTTAACATGATTACATTTATTCAAATTCCTAATTATAAATATCATTTCATTAAAAAATTATAAACTATAAATAAATAAATTGTAATAAATCATAATTTTAATTATTGAAATACTTTATGTTTTACTAAAATCCTTTGAACACAAATATATTCATCAATTAAAGCTATTCTTCAATAAATACTATCAATATTTTTATTTTAACAATCAAAAGGCATATGCAGTACAATAGGATGTGTAGGGAATTGTAATTGTCTGCAACACATCATACGATAATATGGGAAAAGTATTACAGTATACATAGCTTTAAGGTTGCGTTTTATATTAATAGATGTAGAATATTATATAATATTAAATCCCTATTTAGCCAAACATACAAAACCATCCTTTGATGCCTCAGACATGCAATAAATCATAGCGTTTGGCGTCTGTCTGTCTGACCAGGAAATCATCAATTGATTAACATTTGCCGTATTCTTCGCTTAATGTCTATTTGATAAGCCTTTCGATGTGTTTATAAATGTATTTCTGTTTCATTATTACACCGAAAAAGTTGCCCCAAAAATGACTGAATGAGTGCTAATGTTGTAGTAAATCAATACTTGAGCTGCAGTTTGTCATTGAAAGTATTTATTAACATCACAACTATATTTATACATATTTCTAAAAATATCATTTTCTTATAAAACAAGTTTTTAAATTATTAATTAATTCACTTAAAAACAATCTAATCAAAAACAATAAATCATTTATTAAAATAAACATTACTTTTCTTTGAATAGTGAATATATTTGATTCAAGTCTTATACACATGTATTAATTGAATAAATAAAAATTATATTATATAATAGAGAAACAAATCGTGTTTTAAATATATTTATCAAGTAAGGCATGAAAAATCAAAAGCAATTTATGTGTGTATGAAATGATTAAAAAGATATGTAAATAAAAGTGTTTAAGTTATACAACTGATAACTATTGTCACACAATGTATTTCATACATAACTTATGTAACATTGAATTTTCACGGCTTTATTTAATCCATGACTTTATAGCCAAGTAATAGTAAACTCAATGAAATTAATTTTATTTCGTGAAACATATTATTCATGGGAAATATATAATTATTATTATGTTATAAAAATAATAAAATATTTTACATATTATAAAACAGGTTTTACTTATTATTTAAAATTCAAATAATTTTTATAATTTATCTCTTTATAATGCATTAAAAACATTATTGTAAACGAAGGAAAAACATATATTTTATGGAAAAAATAATATTTTGTGCCAAGAATTTGCTTAATAATAAATTATAAATTAATTCGTGTAAAAACCAAGTTGGGTTTGAAATTGTTTTGCAAAATATATTTCTTTCATTAATGTTGGCTAAAAACTATTGATTTCTTAATAAAAAGACAATCATTGCTATTAAAATCAATCATAACTAACATTATTATTACTATTATTTTGTTATATTTATTTAATTTATTACACATTATATCTGGTAATGAATTGTCTGGTGATTTAAGTGTACCTAAAAATAAAGTGCATTTTTCAGTTTGGATTTCAAGTGTTTCAATAATATTAATATATAATACAATAAATCGCTATTTATTTGACACGAGAAATGATATGAAATAATATTTATACCGAAATATCGTTTCATTGTCTCATTTAAACGCCAACCGAAATGTTTGCCAACTATTTTCCTTTTGGTTTCAATGTCTGATATACTGTATATAAAAGTCACTAAAAATTAACTGTAAGTTATTTATCACAAAATGTATTACAATTTCTTTTTCATTCATTTAATGTCCGCAAAAATATCATCGTTTTATTTCTATCCGTATGTTTTGCTCAATAAATAAAATGAGAATAAATTGCAATAAAATATATATAAAAAACTATATATAACTCTAAATCCGAAATCAAATCTAACGTTCATTATATTTAATAGAGTGGACTGTCGTATAAGCCATGCTATCCCGTGATGTGCAGTAAATATAATCATAATTCTATAGCCTATCGGTCGACCTCTTAATGATGATTACTTCACATGAAATACATTAAGCTCTTCATGGCCTGTATGGGCGCCGGTATGTCACTGACCATTGCATCTCCTCATTCATACCCAT